TTCGACGCGGCGTCAAAATCCTTTGCGCGCGCCGACCCCGCACGAACATACCGTGTATGTGTGTGTATATACGCACACAGATTCCCCAAACAGTGCTTGCACTTAGGGTTTTTTGCTTCTCTTCTAAGGTGCCAGGCATCATGCCCGGCCCAGGCGGCGCCGCTCTCGTCCGTCGCCGCCGCCCCGCTGCACACCCCGCCCGTTGCACTGCAATCGCATTGCGTTACGATTGCAGTGCGTTGCAACTTTATTGCGTTGCATTGCAGTTGCATCGCATCGCGTTGCTTGCATTGCTTTGCATGGTTTTCCTTGCTGTGCATGGATTTGCACTGCTTCGCACTGCTTCGCATTGCTTTGCACTGTTTTGCACAGCTTTGCATTGTTTCACACTGCTTAGCATTGTTTTGCATTGTTTCGCATTGTTTCGCATTGCTTTGAATAGCTTTGCATTCCGTTTCATTGCTTGGCAATGCTTGGCATTACGGTGCATTATGTTGCATTGTGGTGAATTGGTTTGCATTGTTTTGTATTGCTTTGCATTGCTTCGCATAGAGCTTTGACTTGTTTTGCATTGCAGCGTTGCGTGGCATTACGTGGCTCCATTTATAAACATTGCCCTGCGTTATACTGCGCTGCGTTGCGCAACCGAGATTTGCACCACATGGACTGCAGATCCAAGTTGCACCACACTGGTGGCACCACCTAGGTTGCACCGCATGTATGGCAAGACATCATTGTTTCGGGTCCCTGCTTACATATATTTATATATATATATATATATGTATATATACACATATACACATATGTATATGTGTACACACATATTTGTGTATATTTATATATAGATATACATTTACGTATATGAGTACATCTACATGTGTGACAACGTACCCTTTGGCCTATGTGTGCATCTTTGTGGCCTTACCTGGTCGCGTGCTGAAGCTGCTGTGGGCCAGTAGAGGGGGCCCGACCCTGGGCCGGACCCCCCAACAAAAAAAACATCAACTATCACTCTAATGGCTACTCTTTGACGACAGTAACAACAACAATCATACCCAGTATCTACTAACAGCAATAACAGCAACAACAATTTTGATGTAGTTGGCTCTTCGTTTCCCGCGCGTCGTGCGTCGTGAATCCCCGAAGCTTCTGCCTTCCGCACCTACTCGTCTCTGGACGTATCCCTTGTTTTTTTTTGTGGTTTGATACCAGCTTCTTGGCAAAGGCAGGACAAGCTTGTCGAGCGGGCGAGCCTCGAGTGCCAGTTTCTTCGTCCTCTGGCGATGACGCCCGATACCAGGGTGGACGGGGGTGCCACCGTCACGATTTGCGCCCGCGGGTAATGGGGGAGGGGCCTGGTAACGTCTGGGCTGGAAATGGCTTGGGCTGACGACGACGACGACGACGTTGACGACGTTGACGACGACGACGACGACGGCGACGATGACGACGACCGACGTCGACCAGCGTCGACCGACGTCGTCTGGAAAATCAAGCCGCATCGCGGCAGGCGCCCCCCCTGCTTGGCACACAGACAATGCGTGCGCGTGCACCCTGCCTCCGGCATCTTGGCGCGATCAGCCCACAGGTCATACAGCGACGTGTGCCCTTCCTCAATCTCGGCGCACGGGGGCCAGCTTCGGGCCTGGCGGCCACATAAGGCAACCACCGGCAGCAAGACCTTGCCCAGGGGACGCTGGCCCGGAGCCGCGGGGCCCACGCCGAGGCGCAGCCACGGCGTCGGGGGCTGGCCACGCTCCTCTGAGAACCGCGCTCTCACCTCGGCGCGGGCTGCCTCCCCCGCCCCCCGCCCCCCCGAAGCGCGTGTCGCTTCCTCTCGTCGGGTGAGGCGACTGGCGCCCCTCCAGAGGCCCATATCCACGCTGGCCACGCGGGTGGGCGAGGGAGCGGGGCGGAGATGACGGGTGCGTGCTTACCTGGGCGTCGAGGGAGTGCCGAAGGCCCCTCGACACTCCCCGGCTTCTTCGCTCTCCCCGCGGGTGGAGTGAAGAGCGCGGCCTCCGTCGGTGATTCGGCTGCCCAGACCTCCTGCGTCCTGCTTTTCCTCCTCCAAGATGTGGGCCCTGGAGCCGTCGACTCCGTCTCTGGTGGCAGCCTCTTCGCCGCGCTGCTCTTCTGGGCCCTGGGGCCCGAGCCCCTCCCCTCCTGGGCGCCGGCATGGAGGAACGAGCGCCAGCCGACATGGAGGCGGGTGGGGACGAGGGGGCTGCTTCCAGATGAGGGCGGTGCCCGCCCGCAGACGCCCATCATGCCTTTGACTGGAGGCGAGCGAGGGGCGGGAAATGAGAAGGAGACGGCCTCCTCAGAAGGCTGCAGGACCTCTCGGAAGCCCCCGCTCCTTGGAGAGCAGCCTTCTGCGTCTTCGCGGCAGGCGCAGAACACTGCTCAGAGGACCTGGGGACCTCCGAGCCTCCTGAGAAGCAGCTCTCCTCTCACTTCCCCCCCCAAGGCTCGCCGCCGCACTGAAGCCATGCGTTTCCGCGCACAGCCGGGACCGGCTTCACCCCACGGGGGCCCTCCGGCCGCCCCCCTGCCACCAAGCCGGGGTGCCGCCCCTGGGTGCGCCCCTGGGCGGCAGGGTGGCCGCGCGCGGCTGGAGCCCCCTCGCCCTGGCAGGGCTGCCGCACGCACGCGCCGACGAGCACAAAAAGGGCCCAGGCCGCCGGCGCCAGCGCTCCCGCGCCGGAGTTCCCCGAGCCCGTCTCGGCGGCATGGGCGAGCGGCGCTCCACGGTCGGCCCGAGGCACACAGGGTCGAGGCCGGCTCAGGTAGGGTGCCCCACCGTTCGTCGTGTCTGAGGGGTGTGCTCGTGCATCCCGGACGGGGGAGGGGCCCCCTCGAGTGTGCTGCGGTTTGGCCGGCGGGGGGCCTTCGTGCTCTCTCTCCTCCTCCTCCTCCTCCTCCTCCTCCTCCTCCTCTCTCCTCCTCCTCCTCCCTCCTCCCTCCTCTCCTCCCCCCCCCTCCCTCCCCCTCCCCCTCCCCTCCGCCGCCTTCCTCCTCCTCTCCTCCTCTTCCTCTCCTCCTCCTCCTCCTCCTCCTCCTCCTCCTCCCCCTCCTCCTCCGCCTCCTCCTCCTCCTCCTCCTCCGCCTCCTCCTCCGCCTCCTCCTCCTCCTCCTTCTCCTCCTTCTCCCCAGCTGCTCTCTCCCCACCTCTGGGCGCCAGTGGGGGCGCCACAGGGTACCGCTGAAGCACGTGGCACTCGGAGGCCCTGGCGTTGCTCCATGATGCCCCCGCCCTGGCTCCCCCTGTGTGGTCGGGGCGCGGGCAGGGGCGTGGGTAAGTCAGGCGATCGCAAACATGGATCAAGGTGGCGTGGAATAGCGACGGGTCCCGTTTCCATGGGAAATCGCGGATTTCCGCCGCCGAGCGAGGCGGCACCGGCCGCATTTTGGGGAGGGCACCTCCCCCGATCCATGGATTAGGCGACCGCGCGCCAAGTCCATGGATCACAATCCATGTTTGTGCGCCCCAGGGTAACGTGTCGATCGCCCACGACTCGAGCAGGGGGTCGATCACGGAGTTGACCCACACCCCAGAGTCGTCTTCCTCGTCGCGCCTGGGAACAAAGATTCGCACCCCTCTTTCCCATGGGTTCTCAGGAGAACAAGCCGTGCCCCGGCTCGGACTCGCGCGGGCGCGCGTGCGCCCTCCCCGCCCCGCCAGTCAAGAAGGGCTCGTCCCACACCATCGGCGTGGAGTTCCGCCCGCGATGCGGGGGGGGGGGCGGGCGGGCGAGAGGGGGGGGCCTGGACCCCCGGGGTGCGGATTCCGCAGAGGCAGGGCACGCCGGTCGTTGAAAGTGGATGGAGTTCTGGATTCCCAGGTCCCGACCTCCCTCAAGCGCCTTCCCACTTCAATAATTTGCGTGCCGCGTTGTCTTTGGTCGTTCTTTCGGGCGGGCCCGAGCCAGATCTGCTTCATCCGCCTTCCTGCTTCACGTTTCTGCCTATGACTTCCGACTGGTGGGTGCGCATACTTGTTTCTCGGGTGGGAGGTGGGGGTTGGGGGGGGATCTTCGGCATGCGAGGCCCGCGTTTCGGGCTCCAGTGCCACGCCGAGCCACGACCCGTGGCGCGAGCAGGGCCGAGGGGATCGAGACCTCTGGCCGCGGGCCACGTGCACGGAGCAGCTCGCGACGTCGGAGGCTTGGGGGTAGTTGGAAGGGGTGGAGGAGCAGGAGGAGGATCAAATTCGCCAGGTCGAGCGAGTCAGAGGGCCCCGCCTACTCCCGCCTTCCCTCCCGCAGCATAGCTCGGCATTGGGACGACTCGGCATGGTGGTTGGAACAGCATGGCACTGTGACAATTTAGTCTTGGTGCTGGGGCACAGCTGTAGCATACCTTGGCACTGGGATTTGCACGCGCTGCCACCTCGCGAAAACTGAGGGCGCTCGCGCGCGGCGGCCGCCAGGGTGAACTGCCTGGCCAGACGAGCAGAGGGAGCCGATGTGCTCGACCCATGAGTGCTCGCCGTCGGAGTGCGGTGCAGTTGTTTCTGTCGTTTTCGCCGTGCCTGATCCTGGGATCATGCGGTGGGTTCAGGAAGAAGAGCCTCGTGAGTGCCATCGGGGCTCAAGCAGGAGCCTGCAGGATTTTGCCGGATCTTGCAAGGCCTGATGGACCCGGGTCTGCACTGACCCGGGTCAGTGGGCCCCCGATACCAGCTGAAGCGCCACCGCATCGTACAGTCGGGGCCCTGAAGAAGGAACCCTTATGGTTGGGGAGGGGTTCCGCGTTCCTTAAGTGTTTCACAGCTTGCCTCAGGCTTTCCTTATGTTTTCGATAGGGAATCGAAGTTTAGCTTATTGAAAAAAAGGGGCCTCGTTCCTTATTTAGGGTTCCAGGTTCCCTAGGTCAACGCCCCGACTGTAACGCAAAGCCAGGATCGGCGGCGCGCAGCCGTTTTTTGGCTCGAGGCTCTGTGCCGTGCAGCGCGGCGCGGCGCCACCTCGCAGCGCAGGCCCGGCGCGCCAAGAGCCATGAGCGGCACCCGGGCGCTCGGGCTGCCGCCCGCGGCCAGCCGAGGCATCGTGGAGGCGTACGTTGCCCGCGTGGCCCCGCAGCTCCCCGAGGGCTTCGCATTCGCGACCCTGGCGCCGTGGGTCTCACCGCACAGGCCAGAGAGGCTCGTGACGCCGCACGCTGGCCACTGGGACGCAGGAGAGGTCGCGTCGCTGCTGTCTGGGGCCAGCCTGCTCGTGCCGTGCACGCTCGAGACAAAGCACGAGAAGCGCATGATACAGAAACTGTTGAAGCAGATCGAGCCGAGCAGCAACTTGCGTGTGGCCCTGCTGCAGCTGCTCGAGATCCCAGGCGCCATGAATAAGGAGTACGTGCAGATGCTCATGGCACGCCACGACGCGCTCCTCGCTCTGGGTGCCGACGTGGTGATTCTCGACCCCAGCGACGAGAAAGATCGGCTGTACGCAGAACTCAACCAAGAGCAGGCGTGGGTCGAAGTAAATTTCCAGCGTGTTCAGTGTATGGTCAAAGATGCGGACGCGGCAGCACAGGCTGCGTTGGAGTACCACCACGAGCTGCTGTGGGAGAGCATCCCGAAAACTATGATGCATGCGTTCCCCCCGATCAATCCCAACCTTGTGGAGACGGCTTCCAGCGTGGGCGATTACCAGTTGATGCACCGCTTGGACACAGTGAGCGGCAACGTGTTCCTTGCGAGTCGAAGCGAGACTGAGAAAGTCGTCCTCAAGGTCTATGACAAGGCAGACTTTTTAGATGCTGGGGACGTGGAGAACACTTATCGCGAATTGCGTTTCCTGAGGGACGAGCTCCGACACCCGCACATCGTCCGGTGCATTTGCGTGCTCCATAGCTTCTCGCGGGTGTACTTGGCCCTCCAAGTCGGGGGCAAGAAGAATTTGAGCCAGCACCTCCTGAACCGGCCAGGGTGCCGCCTCGATTTGCAGGATGCTGTGGACTGCACCGCTCAGATAGCAGGAGCGCTGGCCTACTGCCATTCGCGGAACATCGTGCACAGGCAAGTGTCTTTGGATCACGTCGTGGTAGATGACCAGTCGGAAACGCTTTTCTGCCGCTTGGTGGACTTTTTCAGGGCGACGCGCTGCGTGGAGTCGACGCCGTTGACCACGGTGTGCGGGGATCTGCCGTGCATCGCCCCAGAGACGGTGCTGGAGACGTCCTACGTCGCCAAGCCGGCGGACTGCTGGAGCCTCGGGGTTGTGCTCCTCGAGGCCGCTGGGGGCATGGGCTCGATGAGGCGAGCGGTCGGCTGGCCGGATGACGCGGGGTTGGAGCCCGCCGCCGCCAGGATCAGGACTTTCTTCTCCCGCGATGGCAGTCACGCCCGCGCGCTGGCGGTCGTGGGCGGCGTGCTCAGCCACGCGGTGCTGGCCAGGCTCTCTGGGCTCCTCGAGCCGGAGCCCGCGGCCCGGGCCAGCGCGGGCGCCCCCTTGCAGGCCTCCTAGGCCCGGTAGGGTGCTCAGCGGGACCGCACTGCAATAGTATTCGGGGGCGAAAAAGAGGGGGTGGACAGGCCTCCTACCCCAACACGTCGATTAGTGAATTGGCCGTTTCCGGTTCGCGAGAGGGCGTCGCGGCCGTCATTCTTGCGGGTCCAGGTCCGTCGGTTCCGGTCCCAGGCCGCTTTCACTAAGGGGAGGTTTACTAAAGGGAGGTTTGTCCACCGCCGAAGTTGTATACGCCCACACGCACACACAATACAGATCTTTGACGGCTCGTCTTCGTGAGCGACGATGCTGCCTGCGGCGCGTATAGAGTTGGCTTGAACGGGATCTCTACGTATCATGGTAGCGGTTAAAGTCAAGCAAGTGTCGAGACCCGTTCTTGCGACTCCCCATATGAGCGCAACATGGCCTACGCTTTTGAGCCGCTGCGGCTGGGGCTGGGGCACCAGTGCACAGTGTTCGCGTACACGCCAGCGTCGTGTCTTTTTTTCTCGCTACCGCCGCCCCATGCTCTTGCGCCTTTGCCTTCAAGATGAGACTCCTTTTATTACATAGTCGCCGCCAACTCCCTTCACGCACCTGCCTCCTCCTCTTCCTCCGTGTTCTTCTTTTCCTCATTCATTCAGGTTCCCAAATATTATCATGAAAGTAGCATTGTGCTTTCTGGCTTCCAAGACAACGCCCGCAGAGTGCGAGAAGCGTTGCACTCCATATTTTATGAGTCTCAGAGGAGATCGAGATCGCATCGGACGCCTGTGGCCCCCTTGCCTAACAAGATGGGGCTCCCTGTATCACGTAGTCGCCGCCAATTCCCTTCACGCACCTGCCTCCTCCTCCTCCTCCTCCTCCTCCTCCTCCTCGTTCGTCTTTTCCTAATTTTTTCTGCAGGGTGACCCCTGCCAGCCTGACGTGATTGTATTACACATATATAGCAGGTTCCAGCGCAAGCAGCGACAGCACCCGAAGCCATGCGGTGTGCAGGTGAACCGCCGTGTGCAGATGAACGGCCGTGCATTTGAAAAAACTGTCGGCGGCGAGTGAGGGGGGGAAGTTAGAAGGGGCGGACCTTCTAAGAAGGCTCGGAAATCTCCTGGCCTTCTGAGACATTTTCTAAGCCCTCCCCGAGGACACACAACACTTCTTAGAAGGCGCGAGGGCTTTGAGAAGTCCCGCCGCCGCCTTTTGATCATGCCTTCTCCTTCTCACTTCCCTCTCGCTCGCCGCCGACAAGAGCAAACAAGCAACATTCCGCAGAACTCCTCAACATCGGGGGTATGCGCATCACGCTTCCCATATCGAAGACGCCTACGACGAATCACCGCCGCCCTCTGCCTTCTAGAACTGCCCATGTGGCCGAGCGCTGTGGCAAGAGCTCTGCCAAGCTATCGGACCATGTGCTCCCTCAACCGTTGAGCAAACCCTTCGGGGAGCACTCGGGGGAGGATGGCGGGGAAGATCAGGAGGAGGAGGAGGACCAGTGTAAACCCAAGAGTCATCAACGATGCTGGAATTAACCCTGCCTCCAAGCTCCCTCTTCACAGGCCCCTACAACGCTTCATTTCCATTGAGGGAACTGCCTCGTTGGACGACAACAATTTGAAGACAATGAAGCCTGCCACAACATTGTTCTCGGGATGTCAACGCCACGGATCAACCTGACTGCTCCGTCTTGACGATCTGGAATCATACCAGAACGCTATTTTTGGGACTTCAACACCGCGAATCACTATAACTGTTGCACCCGCAAAATCCTTCCAAAACCAATTTTCGTACGCTGATCATGGAAATGAGTGAACCCCTGGTACAGTCTAAAAACGAATGTGCGCGGCGCTGAGGCGAGAGCCACATTTTGAAAAGGAGCCACCCCCAATCCGTGAATCCCTTGCAAATTTTGGAAACGAATGTGCGCGGCGCTAAAGCGAGAGCCACATTTTGAAAACCACACGCCCTCAATCCGTGAGGCTCTTGCAATTTTCCATCCATCCTGTGGTGTTGGGTCCTCGTTTTGAAGAGAGCGCCCCGCGTTCCTCACTCCTCTCCTCTCCTCTCCTCTCCTCTCCTCCTCCTCCCCCTCCTCCCTCCTCCCATCCGCCTCGTCACCTCCCTGCGTTTCACTCACCCAGGACAGCGTTTCGTGCCCTCAGGGAGCTCCACCGAAGGGCCCAGCGGCAGGGTTCGCATGCGCACACCCCGCCCATCTCGGCACACCCCTCACGAGGATCGTGGCCCCATCGGGAGCTCCACCGAAGGCCCCAGCGGCAGGGTCCGCATGCACCCCCCGCCCATTTCGGCACACCCCTCACGAGGTTGGTGGCCCCATTGGGAGCTCCACCGAAGGCCCCAGCGGCAGGGTCCGCATGCGCCGCCCATTTCGGCACATCCCCCACGAGGATCGTGGCCCCAATAGGGAGCTCCACCGAAGGCCCCAGCGGCAGGGTCCGCATGCATCACCCCGCCCATTTCGGCACACCCCTCAGGAGGATCGTCGCCCCATAGGGAGCTCCACCGAAGGCCACAACGGCAGGGTCCGCATGCGTTCCCCCCGCCCATTTCGGCAACCCCCTCACGAGGATCGTGGCCCCATAGGGAGCTCCACCGAAGGCCCCAGCGGCAGGGTCCGCATGCGTGCCCCCGCCCATTTCGGCACACCCCTCAGGAGGATCGTGGCCCCATGGGGAGCTCCACCGAAGGCCACAAGGGCAGGGTCCGCATGCGTTCCCCCCGCCCATTTCGGCACACCCCTCACGAGGATCGTGGCCCCCCTCATGCGTTCCCCCGCTCATGTCGGCACACCCCTCACTAGGATCGTGGCCCCATAGGGAGCTCCACCGAAGGCCCCCGCGGCAGGGTCCGCATGCGCCCCCCCGCATATTTCGGCACACCCCTCACTAGGATCGTGGCCTCATAGGGAGCTCCACAAAAGGCCCCAGCGGCAGGGTCCGCATGCGTCCCCCCGCCCATTTCGGCACATCCCCCCCCCTCCCCTTTGGCGTTGAAAGGGGGGGTGGTGGGACCCCCCCCCCCTCTCCCCTTTGCGCCGGAAAGGGAGCCGGGGAGGGGGGGGCTCTCTCGCTTGTCTTTTCTGCGCCAGAGAAGGTGTGTAGGGAGTACGGAGTTGGGAGTAGGGAGTGGTGAGTAGTGAGTAGTGAGTTAGTGCGTAGTGAGTAGTGAGTATTGGGTAGGTGAGTAGTGGGTGGTGAGTGCCGAGTAGGGAGTAAGGAGTAGGGAGTGGGGAGTAGTGAGTAGTGAATAGTGAGTAGTGTGTACTGATAAGTGAGTAGTGAGTAGCGAGTAGTGAGAAGTGAGTAGTGAGTAGCGATTAGTGAGTAGTGAGTACTGAGTAGGGAGTAGGGAGTAATGAGTAGTGGGCAGTGAGTCGTGGGTAGTGAGTAGTGGGTGGCGAGTAGTGATTAGTGAGTAGTGAGTAGTGGGTAGTGCGTAGTGCGTAGTGAGTAGTGAATAGTGAGTAGTGAGTAGTGAGTAGTGAGTAGTAAGTAGTGAGTAGTGAGTAGTGAGTAGCAAGTAGTGAGTAGTGAGTAGTGAGTAGTGAGTAGTTAGTACTGAGTAGTACGTAATGCGTAGTGAATAGTGAGTAGTGATGAATAGAGAGTCGTGGGTAGTGGCAGTGGGTACTGTGTAGTGAGTAGCGAGTAGTGAGTACTGAGGAGCGAGTAGGGCGTAGTGAGTAGTGAGTAGTGAGTAGTGGGTAGAGAGTAGTCAGTAGTGAGTAGTGGGTAGTGATTAGTGAGTAACGACTAGGGAGTAGCGATTCGTGAGTAGTGAGTAGTGAGTAGTGAGTAGGGAGTAGGGAGTAGTGAGCAGTGAGTAGTAAGAAATGGGTAGTGAATAGTTGGTAGTGAGTAGCGATTAGTGAGTAGTGAATAGTGGGTAATGAGTAGTGACTAGTGACTAGTGACTAGTGACCTGTGACTAGTGACTAGAGACTATGTAGTGACTAGTGGGTAGTGAGTATTGAGTTGTGAGTAGTGAGTTGCGGGGAGTGAGTAGTGAGTATTGAGTAGCGATTATGGGAGTAGCGAGTAGTGAGTACTGAGTACTGTGTAGTCAGTATTGTCTAGGGAGTAGGGAGTAGCGAGTAGCGAGTAGCGAGTAGTGGGTAGTGCGTAGTGATTTGTGGGCAATGAGCAGTGGGTAGTGAGTAGTGGATTATGGGGGTAGTGGGTAATGAGTAGTGATTAGTGAGTGCTGGGTGTCAGTACTTGGGGTTAGGGTTAGGGGTTTGGTTTAGGGTGAGGAGTAGGGGTAGGGGTGGCGGGGGTCGGGTTCCGGAGTTAGGGGACGGCGTGGCGAAGGGGGGGGGGGGCGGCCAAAGAGGGGGAGGGGGGGGGGGTTGGACCCCCCCGCTTTTGAAAGGGGGGGGGGGTCTCGACGATTGATCCGGGAAAGAGGGGGAGGGGGGGGGTCCCCGACGACGGATCGGGGAAGGGGGGGAGGGGGGGGGGTTCCCGACGACGGATCCGGGAAGGGGGGGAGGGGAGTCCCCCCCCCCCCCAAGGGAAATCCAGTGGCGCACCCTCCTTTGGTGCTCCTCTTTTGGGGGGGTCCCAGACGCGCTGTCGAATACTTTTTGACCCCCCCGCCATTGTGGGAGTTGGGTAGGGATTAATCCGCTAGCCGCCCTGAAGGACACCTGCGGTTCGAGTCGAGACGGACTCGTTGCTCCTTGGCGCTCCCGTTGGGCCTCGCCGGAGCGCGCTCCTCGAGTCCGACCCCGAGGTGGGGGGAGGACCACCGCCAGGGGGAACGATCTTCGGGGACTTCGGCAGGCGGCAGATGGGAACACGCTCGGGCCCCGCGGGGGGTGCCGAAGCTATCCAGGCCCATCGCCCGCTGGGGCCCCAGGACGTGGGTCCTCCAGGCGGTGGACATGGACAGGCCCCCGCCCTGCAGCGGGCCCGCCAGGACGCGGGGCGCCCTCGACTCCGGCCCCGACGTCCTCCTCCTCCTCCTCCTCCTCCTCCTCCTCCTCCTCCCCCTCC